ACAGGACTATGTAGCACTTTAAAGACTAACAAGATGGTTTATTAGGTGATGAGCTTTCGTGGGCCAGACCCACTTCCTCAGATCAAATAGTGGAAGAAAATTGTCACAACCATATATACCAAAGGATACAATTAAAAAAAATGAACACATATGAAAAGGACAAATCAAATCAAAATTCTCTACCCTAATGTGGCTCCTGGCATCCCATGGAGGAATCACCTGGAAGAAGGGCAAATTATATGGCACCTATTGTTCTAGGCCAAGCAAGTCCTTTGATACAGTTTCCTTGACAATTACTGGAGCTATAATATTCATTTGGAGACATAGCTCTTGCTTAGGAAGCTGGTAACCTCGGTCTGAAAACAAATATTTAAAAATATCTTTCAACACAGTCACAGACAAGCTTCAAAATGGTACAGCCCCAATCTTCACAGAGAATTAGAGAGCCCTGAGGCAGGAGTAATAACTTTACAACTCCAAAGGAGGGTGCTTCAGAGGAGCGAAATCTGCAAAGCTATTAACAAAATCCAAAGAGCAACCCAACAGACTAGGCTCCCCAACACACCACTAGGCTAACACTGGGCTAAACACAGGGAAAACAATACATGAAATTAAAGTGCAGCTTTCACAAAAGCCCTGCTCGGGACTTTACTTCCGGCTCTGTTTTGATTTCTCTGCAAAATAAGTAAGCTTTGTTCTCATGACCCCTTTCTGGCTCCTTTTCGTGAGCTGGCAACAAGCCTGCAGAGGGTTCTCTTTTCTGGAGCACGTATTTCTTTAGGAGAGGCTTGCTTTTTTCCTCAGGGCTATCTTCTTTCTGAAGATTTGTGGTAAAGCTGGGAGGTTTATTACTGGCTGCACTTATTAAAAAGCTTTACAAGGCACAAGGAGTGGGTGCTTCCTTCCTGATGTAATGCAACAGCCTTACTTCTTCAGGATGGGCATTGAAAGCTTTCAGCCCCAACATCACAGCAAATACTGTTCTGAAGCCTTCAGACTCTTTTGTTATTTTTACAGATATGGGATCTGGCCATTTGGTTTTTTCAAGAAATTGGGTATCCCTGGGCCAAAACCCTTGCCTTTCTTTGGAACTGCCTTGGAATATCGTAAAGTGAGTATTTAAAGCCTTCTTCTGGCCCCAGAAAAATATGTCCATCATCATAAAATAGCTAGATTTCTACACAGCACTGATGAGTTCTCCCATGTGCTCTGAGCTCTGCTCGAATGCACAGGTTGTATAGGATCCAATGCAGGGTAACATTTCTGTAGTGCAAATGACACTGTGAAGGGCATGATGAGCCCTGTGGTGATTGCCCAAAACAGGTGAACAGGGTGGCTGGTTTGCAATCACTATTTACTGAGTTCTTTGCAAACATTTTCCTTACAGATGCCTTAACCTCAAGCATGATGCACACCTAGAATAACTAGTTCCAGCCATGTTCTTAAAAGAACCCATCCCTTACAGACTGCAAGAGACTCGATTCCCCTTCTCTAGAATGCATGCTTCTTTTCTAATTCCATTTTAAAAATCTCTCTCTGCAGGGTATGGTGGAGTTTGACACCGAGTGCTATAAGAAATATGGGAAAATCTGGGGGTGAGTATGTTTACCAACCAGTTCTGTGTGGTATGTTCCTCACATTATCCTATAGTCAGAATTCAAATTGGAGGGTGAAAAAAATCCACTGGAAGAGGAGATCTCAAAGGCTCCAATGCTGTAACAGGACGGTGCCACTGGTTTGATAGGAAATTTGTCCACTTCTCCTGGATTGCAATTTGTAAAGGAAGGTGTGTATATAAATATATTCCAGATACATGCTGTAATTGCATATAGATCCCAATTATACCAACTCTGTTCCTGTCTATAACCCTGACCTGGTGACATGTGATAGGTTTGCATTACCGCTGTCTGCCACTGCAGTTGTAGCATGGACTACATGCTCCGGTAACTTCTGCAGGCTATCCAACTGGCCTTATACCATTTCCCCATCCATTCAAAAGCCTATATCAATCCTTATTTAACTTATCTCCATTATCTACTATATATTTTAGAGAGTTTGTCTGTTTGTCTGTATGTTCAAGATCTCCTCCTAAATGATAAAAACCAAGACCGCAAAATTCGGTGTTTAGCTTCCTCTTATCAGAACTTAAAGCAATGTAAGGGCTTGGTTGTGCCAGAAGAACAGGATGTGTCTGGAATGGGATTGTTTCTCCTAAAGCAAACAAAAAAGAGAATCACCAAATCAAGTACAGTCCTCAAAATTGACATAACTGAGTGAATGTTGAAAAGAGACTGAAACAAGATGAGCCAGAAAAAGAGGATGAATCTGGAATAGGACTGCTTCTCAATAAACCTTACAGAAAAGAGATCACACAGAGAAATTTGGAGTAGTGCTCTTCTGGCACAGCTAATTCAATACTTATGGTTTGAAAACTAGAATAAAATGTTATTGGAAACCAAATTGACTATAGCCCTTTTCGGTTAAAACATAGTGAATGATAACAGTTTCTAGGGATGAAGAAAAAAATACACTTCATGGAATTCCCATTTTAAAAAACTGCAAAACATTAAATGGAAAAGTTTTAACAATCCCTTTATAAAATAAATCTGAACTTTTAAAAATAAACCTGAAAGTTAACTTCATAAAAACAACATTGTATTTTTGAAAAATACAATCATTTAAATAAAGTATGTACATTTTCCTGTTGTTTCCCTAACCCCCACCACAAAAATTGAGTTAAGGACCCTAGCAACAACAGCTAAATCTGCTAGTAGGATAATAAATCTTTAAACAATTATATAAAACTAGAATTCAGGCCAATCAACAAAAGTATTTCAGTGCTATCAGCTGAAAAGGTCCAAATTTGTGAATCAAAAGGATAAAATAAATGTACTGCTAACATAAGAGAGTGTAAGGATCTGGAAATGTATAGGCCAAAGAGTGAATGTTCCTACTGCCTTTAGGATCCGATAGCTTTGTGTTCAGCAGCTCTCATCTCTCATGGATTTCAGAGGGTGTTTGGCCTTGTGGAAGATTGAGCCCTTTCTTTAAAATGCATTTTAAAAAAAACAACAACAACCTTGAAGCAATCCTTTTGTTTCTACATTATAAAAAAAGTTATGGTGACATCTTACTCATCATTATTTGTGTATGAAAACCCCGTTTGTTACTATTCAAGTTACTTATGGCATCATGTGAGGGGTTCATGTCACAGAAGAATTCGTACTATTGATCATTTGTTTTTGGAAAAGATTTTCTAGTACAAAACTCATACAGGACATATTCTATTCTAGCTCTAGTGAGAGGGCCAGAGGGGAGGGATTCCTTAGGGAAAAACTGAAAGGACTAAATGTATTACAGTACTTGGGGAAAATGAGAAACTGTAGAGATCTGTCTACATGTATTTGAAGAGCATAAGCACTAAAGAAGGAGAAGAGTTTAGGGTGGCAGATCAAAGTACCACTAGGAAGAAAGAGATTAAATTAAATGAGCATAATCAATTTAGTAATGACCCCTTGGCCAGAAATCTTTTATTTACTAGTGGTATCAGTAGCACCCAGATGACTATAAATGAGAGGAGAGAAAAACCAGTTTTTCTGTAGCATCAACTTGTTAATCTTGTGCATGACAGCCCTTTGTATATAGCCAGTTTCACTGTTTCCCCAGTTAGTTCCTCCTGTTCTTCTCGTGGGTCTTTAATGCAACTATGGGAAACAGAACATTAATTTAAAACACAACTGGGAATGGATTTAGTAATGTACCTAAAACTCCATTTGACTTACTTTTTTTTTTTGAAGTGACTAAAATATGATGCTGGTGCTCCTCTCTGAAAACATAGATGTAAGCAGTATATTGGGGATATTTATGAAAGTGACTAAAATATGATGCTGGTGCTCCTTTCTGAAAACATAGATGTAGGCAGTATATTGGGGATATTTATTGACCAGTGGAAAGACACTGAAGGCAAACAGCATTCTTGAGACCAGTTTGGAAGGAGGCAGTGGGCCCTGGTTTTCTCACATGCCAATGCTGCTCTGCTATTAATGGCTCGCTCGCAGGTGACTGACCGGAAGCTTGAAGTTGCTGAGGGAATCTAATTAAGACTGCTCCTCTCAACAACTTTCAGTGTTGCAGGAAAAACAGCTCAGATATGGACAATAATTGGGGTAGACAAAGGCTGCAGCTTTGTAGGTTTCTGGCCTAACGATTAATGTAATCAGTGGCACAGTCCATTTATTTACACTGCACTAGCAACTATTCAATAACATCTGCCGTCTGAAAATATTAACCCTGTTTCCGAACTTCTTTGAGTTATTGGACTGAGGAGCAATTCGAGGACCCTTCTGGGGATACACTCAGATCTTCAATTTGGGAGAAGCTCTTCACCTTCTCTGGCCCAACTTTTCATATTGCAGCTATTTTGTGGTCACCTAAGACTTCTATTTGTCATTATGCTGCATTCTGTGGAGACCTGGGATTGCATTGTGGCAACAGGGATAGAATGGCTCCCAAACAACATGCCTCCGCTATTTGAGATGAAACAGAATGTCTGCTGCCAATTCTGACTCACAATTGATCACTTTTGAATCTGTCTTGGGCAGGGGTGCTGTGCCGGTCATAAGGTTTTGCTTCACTTTCTGTGCAATAACATTACGCAAGCCAATTCAATATGCCGTTTTCCGTCCCTTACAACTGGGTTTAGGATAGCCTGAATCTCAAACAAACCAAAAGGCGGACTCCTCTGTTGTTTTCATTGTTTGAAAATGTAATGGCTATCCTCTGACATAATAATGAGGGTGTTATTTTCTGTGTTGTCTTGGCTACATTTCCATCCTGTCCTACTCAGACCTGGCAGTTCTATAGCACCATCTGTCTTAGGATCTCGTAGCATTTTACAAATGGTGAACTGGGCCTAACAGATGGGGGAGGGAGGCAAGTCATCACCCCCGTTTTAAAGACTGGGAAACAGAGCCAGTTTCAAGTTAATGACATGGCTGGCCTTAGGATTTATGGGGGCCTACAGAACCTGTCCAGATCCTATCTGAATCAAATTGGTACAGGATTAGAAGATACCGAATAGGCTACAGTTGGACATAAAGTAAAAATAAGCTGCCAGGTGAATGCTGTTTAAACTAATCAATAGGCCTTCTTGTTTTAGGTGGAACAAACAGTCAAAAACATGTTCATTAGAGGCCAGGACAGACAAAATACTCTTCTGTTTTGACCATAAGGAGATTCATTTCCACATCAACCTCTAAGCTTCTCTAGTGGATGGCTTTCTCCTAGGTAGGAGAATGCTTTGCACAGTCACTGAACACTCTGCCTACCAAAGCATTACCTCTCGATCATCGAGATGAAGAGCAAGTACTCCTGCAGGTCCTATCACTGCATGACAAGCCCAAAGTAACTTAAACCTGCCCGGAAACTCTGAGATGAAGTCTGGCATGTTGAACCACATATCCCAGTGTTTCTTAAACTTTTTAAGACCGAGGAATACCAAATAATTTTTTTTATGGGGAACACCAAGAATTTTTTGTTGAGAAAAAAAGTGGGGGAGGAAAAAGGGCTAGGGGGAAGTTATTGAGCCAAAAAAAAATTGCCTGTCCCTTTAAAGGGCAGCCATTTTGAATTCTGTTCTTCGTGGCACACCTCTGACTGCCTCACGCCGGTGTACCACGGAACACAGTTTAAGAAACATTTACATTCGTAAGAGGCCATGTGTCCCAGTAGTCCAAGACTTTCTTTTACTACTGTAAGCAGATGAGCGTTTATATCTATGGCCGTGGTTTCCAACACACTAGCCACATGTGGCTATTTGGCCGGTTGACTGTGTCTAGTTGGCTTGAACAATGTGGATACAGGGCATTCCCACTATAAGTCGCCCTTGTATGCATCCGTTCCGCACTGAAGTCATTGACGCTTGTAGGAACTGATGTGTTATAAAGCCTCCCATTCCCCACTCAAGTTGCACAAAAAAAAAAAAAAAAAAAAAAAAATTGCACAAATTGAAGTCAGTCATGGGGAAAAAAATTCCCCGCTTTAAGTTGTTTTGCTATAAGTCCAAGGTTTTTGGAACGTGTCTTGGACTTACATCAAAGACAGCCTGTATTTGGCTGGTTGAGTGGGGCTAGCTCGCTATAGCAGTAGCCACTATAGTGACTACTGCTTCAGAACTGGTTGGACACCATGAATCTATGGAAATGTTTAATGCCAGAAATCTGGCTTGAGGTTAAGAATGCCCTAGCTACTGCAAAATGCAGGACAATGTAGCACTTTAAAGACTAACAAGATGGTTTATTAGATGATGAGCTTTCGTGGGCCAGACCCACTTCCTCAGATCAAATAGTGGAAGAAAATTGTCACAACCATATATACCAAAGGATACAATTAAAAAAAATGAACACATATGAAAAGGACAAATCAAATCAAAATTCTCTACCCTAATGTGGCTCCTGGCATCCCATGGAGGAATCACCTGGAAGAAGGGCAAATTATATGGCACCTATTGTTCTAGGCCAAGCAAGTCCTTTGATACAGTTTCCTTGACAATTACTGGAGCTATAATATTCATTTGGAGACATAGCTCTTGCTTAGGAAGCTGGTAACCTCGGTCTGAAAACAAATATTTGAAAATATCTTTCAACACAGTCACAGACAAGCTTCAAAATGGTACAGCCCCAATCTTCACAGAGAATTAGAGAGCCCTGAGGCAGGAGTAATAACTTTACAACTCCAAAGGAGGGTGCTTCAGAGGAGCGAAATCTGCAAAGCTATTAACAAAATCCAAAGAGCAACCCAACAGACTAGGCTCCCCAACACACCACTAGGCTAACACTGGGCTAAACACAGGGAAAACAATACATGAAATTAAAGTGCAGCTTTCACAAAAGCCCTGCTCGGGACTTTACTTCCGGCTCTGTTTTGATTTCTCTGCAAAATAAGTAAGCTTTGTTCTCATGACCCCTTTCTGGCTCCTTTTCGTGAGCTGGCAACAAGCCTGCAGAGGGTTCTCTTTTCTGGAGCACGTATTTCTTTAGGAGAGGCTTGCTTTTTTCCTCAGGGCTATCTTCTTTCTGAAGATTTGTGGTAAAGCTGGGAGGTTTATTACTGGCTGCACTTATTAAAAAGCTTTACAAGGCACAAGGAGTGGGTGCTTCCTTCCTGATGTAATGCAACAGCCTTACTTCTTCAGGATGGGCATTGAAAGCTTTCAGCCCCAACATCACAGCAAATACTGTTCTGAAGCCTTCAGACTCTTTTGTTATTTTTACAGATATGGGATCTGGCCATTTGGTTTTTTCAAGAAATTGGGTATCCCTGGGCCAAAACCCTTGCCTTTCTTTGGAACTGCCTTGGAATATCGTAAAGTGAGTATTTAAAGCCTTCTTCTGGCCCCAGAAAAATATGTCCATCATCATAAAATAGCTAGATTTCTACACAGCACTGATGAGTTCTCCCATGTGCTCTGAGCTCTGCTCGAATGCACAGGTTGTATAGGATCCAATGCAGGGTAACATTTCTGTAGTGCAAATGACACTGTGAAGGGCATGATGAGCCCTGTGGTGATTGCCCAAAACAGGTGAACAGGGTGGCTGGTTTGCAATCACTATTTACTGAGTTCTTTGCAAACATTTTCCTTACAGATGCCTTAACCTCAAGCATGATGCACACCTAGAATAACTAGTTCCAGCCATGTTCTTAAAAGAACCCATCCCTTACAGACTGCAAGAGACTCGATTCCCCTTCTCTAGAATGCATGCTTCTTTTCTAATTCCATTTTAAAAATCTCTCTCTGCAGGGTATGGTGGAGTTTGACACCGAGTGCTATAAGAAATATGGGAAAATCTGGGGGTGAGTATGTTTACCAACCAGTTCTGTGTGGTATGTTCCTCACATTATCCTATAGTCAGAATTCAAATTGGAGGGTGAAAAAAATCCACTGGAAGAGGAGATCTCAAAGGCTCCAATGCTGTAACAGGACGGTGCCACTGGTTTGATAGGAAATTTGTCCACTTCTCCTGGATTGCAATTTGTAAAGGAAGGTGTGTATATAAATATATTCCAGATACATGCTGTAATTGCATATAGATCCCAATTATACCAACTCTGTTCCTGTCTATAACCCTGACCTGGTGACATGTGATAGGTTTGCATTACCGCTGTCTGCCACTGCAGTTGTAGCATGGACTACATGCTCCGGTAACTTCTGCAGGCTATCCAACTGGCCTTATACCATTTCCCCATCCATTCAAAAGGCTATATCAATCCTTATTTAACTTATCTCCATTATCTACTATATATTTTAGAGAGTTTGTCTGTTTGTCTGTATGTTCAAGATCTCCTCCTAAATGATAAAAACCAAGACCGCAAAATTCGGTGTTTAGCTTCCTCTTATCAGAACTTAAAGCAATGTAAGGGCTTGGTTGTGCCAGAAGAACAGGATGTGTCTGGAATGGGATTGTTTCTCCTAAAGCAAACAAAAAAGAGAATCACCAAATCAAGTACAGTCCTCAAAATTGACATAACTGAGTGAATGTTGAAAAGAGACTGAAACAAGATGAGCCAGAAAAAGAGGATGAATCTGGAATAGGACTGCTTCTCAATAAACCTTACAGAAAAGAGATCACACAGAGAAATTTGGAGTAGTGCTCTTCTGGCACAGCTAATTCAATACTTATGGTTTGAAAACTAGAATAAAATGTTATTGGAAACCAAATTGACTATAGCCCTTTTCGGTTAAAACATAGTGAATGATAACAGTTTCTAGGGATGAAGAAAAAAATACACTTCATGGAATTCCCATTTTAAAAAACTGCAAAACATTAAATGGAAAAGTTTTAACAATCCCTTTATAAAATAAATCTGAACTTTTAAAAATAAACCTGAAAGTTAACTTCATAAAAACAACATTGTATTTTTGAAAAATACAATCATTTAAATAAAGTATGTACATTTTCCTGTTGTTTCCCTAACCCCCACCACAAAAATTGAGTTAAGGACCCTAGCAACAACAGCTAAATCTGCTAGTAGGATAATAAATCTTTAAACAATTATATAAAACTAGAATTCAGGCCAATCAACAAAAGTATTTCAGTGCTATCAGCTGAAAAGGTCCAAATTTGTGAATCAAAAGGATAAAATAAATGTACTGCTAACATAAGAGAGTGTAAGGATCTGGAAATGTATAGGCCAAAGAGTGAATGTTCCTACTGCCTTTAGGATCCGATAGCTTTGTGTTCAGCAGCTCTCATCTCTCATGGATTTCAGAGGGTGTTTGGCCTTGTGGAAGATTGAGCCCTTTCTTTAAAATGCATTTTAAAAAAAACAACAACAACCTTGAAGCAATCCTTTTGTTTCTACATTATAAAAAAAGTTATGGTGACATCTTACTCATCATTATTTGTGTATGAAAACCCCGTTTGTTACTATTCAAGTTACTTATGGCATCATGTGAGGGGTTCATGTCACAGAAGAATTCGTACTATTGATCATTTGTTTTTGGAAAAGATTTTCTAGTACAAAACTCATACAGGACATATTCTATTCTAGCTCTAGTGAGAGGGCCAGAGGGGAGGGATTCCTTAGGGAAAAACTGAAAGGACTAAATGTATTACAGTACTTGGGGAAAATGAGAAACTGTAGAGATCTGTCTACATGTATTTGAAGAGCATAAGCACTAAAGAAGGAGAAGAGTTTAGGGTGGCAGATCAAAGTACCACTAGGAAGAAAGAGATTAAATTAAATGAGCATAATCAATTTAGTAATGACCCCTTGGCCAGAAATCTTTTATTTACTAGTGGTATCAGTAGCACCCAGATGACTATAAATGAGAGGAGAGAAAAACCAGTTTTTCTGTAGCATCAACTTGTTAATTTTGTGCATGACAGCCCTTTGTATATAGCCAGTTTCACTGTTTCCCCAGTTAGTTCCTCCTGTTCTTCTCGTGGGTCTTTAATGCAACTATGGGAAACAGAACATTAATTTAAAACACAACTGGGAATGGATTTAGTACTGTACCTAAAACTCCATTTGACTTACTTTTTTTTTTTTTGAAGTGACTAAAATATGATGCTGGTGCTCCTTTCTGAAAACATAGATGTAGGCAGTATATTGGGGATATTTATGAGTTAGAGGAGAGAATGTGTGAGGGAGAGAGATATTTCTCAGAGAGGCATAGTCTCACAAAAGAAACATTCATGAAGTGTCTTGAAAAGACAGGGATAAATGCTGGTTTGAAAGGCCTTTTCCGTCTCTAATTTCTATGATTCTAAAAAGCGGTATTTCCAGTCAGTGCACTTTGCTATAGAAACCAATAGAGAGTAGGACTTGTAGCTATCAGAGACATACCAGGGAGGAAGAAGTTTTTTGTTTAATGCCCGAATTTCACTGATAAATAGCGAATTGTGAATTTTTATTTCTTTTCCCCCATAGGTTTTATGATGGCAGGCAACCTGTGCTGTCTGTCATGGATCCTAAAATAATTAAAACTGTGCTGGTGAAAGAGTGCTTCACCATCTTTACCAACCGGCGGGTATGAATCATTAATATTCATCAGATGAATCATTAATATTCATCAGAAAGATGCAATAAAGTCATGATAACATCAAATACTGTATTTAAATACTGCAGGAATATACGAGATTTCTTTTGGAGATGCAGCATGAATGCACATCAGTGCAGAGTCAACCTGTGGAACTCATTGCCAAAGAATGCGGTTGAGGCTAGGACTTTAACAGGGTTCAAAAAAGAGCTAGATATATTCATGGAGGTTAGGTCCATCAATGGGTAGGATGCGTAGGAATGGTGTCCCTAGCCTCTGTTCCTCTAAAGGTGGGTGATGGGGAAGGTATCTTGTGAGAATTACCTGTTGTGTTCCCTCCCTCTGGGGCATCTGGCATTGGCCACTGTTGGCACACAGGATACTGGGTTAGATGAACCATTGGTCTGACCCATTATGGCCATTCTTATGTTCTTATGAGACCTCACTTGGAATTGCTCTCAAAGAAAGCTGGTTGACCGCATTCTTATGTTCTTATGAGACCTCACTTGGAATTAGATACTCTTGCTCTCAAAGAAAGCTGGTTGACCACACTTTAAAAACTGCTTAGGTTGTTCATTTTCATTTATTGTTTTTTTAAAAAGTATTTAGGAAAAAGTCAACTCTTAGTTACATCAGTATAACTGAGAGCTGAATTTAATGGTTTGAATGCATCAGTTCATGGGCACCAGCTGGAAACCTTGTCTCTACCACATGGTCGATCCATGCTTCAGAATTGATTCACTGTCAGTCAATTTATTGCCTCTGCTTAGACATGACAAATTGATTTGCATGTAGGGTTGTGTCTAGACTACAGGGTTTTGTCGACAAAGCAGTTTGCTTTGTCGACAGAACTGAATGTGTCTAGACGCTCTTTGTCGACAGAAGTTTTGTCGACAGAATCTGTCGACAAAACTTCTGTCGACAAAGAGCGTCTAGACACATTCAGTTCTGTCGACAAAGCAAACTGCTTTGTCGACAAAACCCTGTAGTCTAGACACAACCCTACATGCAATAACACCTTCTGTCGACAGAACTGTCGACAGAAGGTGTTATGCCTCGTAAAATGAGGTTTACCAGCGTCGACAAAACTGTTGAGTTCTGTCGACGTTATGTTGACAGAACTCAGCGGTAGTGTAGACGCAGGTATAGTTTTGTTGACAAAAGTCCACTTTTGTCAACAAAACTCTGTAGTCTAGACACACCCTTACTGTGTGGAAGTATGTCAACTTCAGTTACACTATTTGTATAGCTGAAGTTATATAGGATAGATCTCTCTGTGTGTGTGTGTGTGTTAGTGTAGACATGGCCTGAGTCAGTGTGTATACATTTGTGCAGGTCTGCCCCAGTGCTTGTGGGGTTGGTGTTTTTTGTGGGTACCACTGCCCAAGTGTAACCCGTTGGGGGAAGTGTATGTGTGTACACATCAGGAAGGAAAAGGGTTGCTTTGTGCACTCTTACCTTTTCTAGAGAAACTCAATAGCTTCTTTTCAGTTATAAACTTGCCTTTGTCACCCCAGAATTTAGGCCTTGTGGGAGTGCTAGAGTCTGCTGTCTCCATAGCGGAGGATGAGCAATGGAAGAGGATCCGCACTGTGCTCTCTCCAACCTTCACCAGTGGGAAGCTAAAAGAGGTAAAACCCAGAGGAACAGTCACACATTAACTGTGGGGTCAGAGCATAGATGGTCTACAGGTCAAGGTAGTCTGGTCTCTTCAGTCAGATTCAAATGATTAAACTGGACTGTCTCATTTGTGCTTCCTAATATTAAAAAGATGGAAAAAGGATTAAAATGAAAAGCCTCTGATGGCAGAAATGGATCAAGTCTGTAAATATTAATGAACCCACCCCCCTCGGCTTTTCAGAAGCTAGGCTTAATGAAGACATAAAGTTTGGCATGTTTAAGTCGTGTCCTGTCATTTGTATTGCAGATGTTTCCCATTATCGAGCAATATGGGGAGGTTCTGGTGAGAAATATTCAGAAGAAAGCAGAAAAAGATGAGCCTGTGGCTGTTAAGGAGTGAGTAACTGCCAAGAATAAGCTGGCTGAGCAGCAAATCTTGTAAACAGCTCTGGTTCATTCGTTACTGGCAATGCAGATAGTTCTTTGGATGAAACTGACTTCTGAAGAGATGAACAGGGCCATCTGAAGGACTAGGATGAAATGTAAAAGGGAAAATTTAGGCTAAATCTCAAGAAAATCTCCCTGAGGTGAAGTCTGTGGAACAATTTATTAAGGGAAATGGTGGAAGCCCCAAATTCTGGTACATTTTAAACTAGAGTGGAGGAAACATTAGAAAATGTGGCATAGGGGAACACCCTACACAAGCAAAGACGTTGAGAGGATGGTGTAACTGAACTTTAATATCTCTACGGTACACATGAGGGCTGAACACAAGAGGGCTGCGTCTAGACTGGCACCATTTTGCGCAAATACTTTTAACGGAAAAGAGAACGTCTATACTGGCATGTACTGTTGCACAAAAGATTTGCTTTTGCGCAAAAGCATCCATGCCAAAGTAGACGCTCTCTTGCGCAAGAAAGCTCCGATGGCCATTTTAGCCATCGGGCTTTCTTGAGCAAGAAATTAACTTGGCTGTCTACACTGGCCCTCTTGTGCAAGAAAAGAAGTCTTATCCCTGAGCGAGAGCGTCGGAGTATTTGCGCAAGAACCACTGATTTTGTACATTACAACGTCAGTGTTCTTGCGCAAATACTCGTGGCAAGTGCTTTTGCGCAAAATCTTGCCAGTCTAGATGCACCTGAGGATCAAAGCTAGGACTTAGAGGTCAGACAAAACTATTTTTATGAAGGTGTGCTTCCAGGAAAATTCTTACAGGGTGAATCCTTCGGGGGCAGAGAATGTGTCTTTTTGCCTGTGTTGACCCATCACATTTGGGCCCTACCAGAATATAAATAATAAAGACATATTTAATAATATAATATTCTTTGGTTTGTACTTATTTATTTATTTTTGACAGCTTGTTTATTCTACCACTGTAGCACACAGATTTACTATCCGCTGTCAGCAGGACTAGGGTTCAGAGTTTCTTAAAAGGCCATAGCCACTTGACAAGATATTTACAGGCACTTGAATAGGTCTGATTCCACCAGAGGACACACACATAGGCCAATACATTACATTATGTAATGTCCTCAGCAAGTCTATTAGGGTATGTCTAGACTACTTGCGTCTGCCGCAAGAGGCATGTAAAATAGGCTACCCGACATAGTCAATGAAGTGGGGGATTTAAATATACCCAGCTTCATTAAAATAAAAATGGCCGCCACGCTGTGCTGGCTCAGCTGATTGTCAGCATAGTGCGCAAGTCAAGACGTGGATCAGTTGACAAGGGAAGCCTTTGTCAACCACTCCCTTATGCCTTGTGAAACAAGGTTTACAGGAGCGGTCGACAAAGGAATTCCCTGTTGACCAATCCGTGTCTTGACTTGCAAAGGAATTCCCTGTTGACCAATCCATGTCTTGACTTGCGAGCTGTGCCGATGATCAGCGGCCCCACTTTTCAAAAGCATAAACAAGTCTCATGAGACTTTTGTTTTCTTTAAAGAGATGTAACATAGAAAGGGAGGGAAAAGTTGTAATTGCCTTTTTCAAACATTAACACTCCTATCCATATTCTGTTTTCGCTCAGCATCTTTGGAGCTTATAGCATGGATGTCGTCACTAGTACTTCCTTCGGTGTGAACATTGACTCCATGAACAACCCTAAAGATCCTTTTGTCAAGGAAATCAAGAAGCTAGTGAAGTTTAACTTTTTTGACCCACTCTTCATGTTGATATGTAAGTTTGCTTTTGCTCACTAAAAGCTCCTTCTAAGTATTCCATTTTGAACTATGACTTCTGCCTCAGAATCAGACAAGTGGTCCACTGGTTTTACCATCCAAGTAGCTATCCCTTAGCCAATAAGCCAAAGACTAGGCAATTCCAAGGATAAAAGTCTCCACTCAAAAGGTCACCTTGGACACATGTTGCTTTAATTTATACCCCTACAAGCCTTATGATGAGAACAGTCTGGAATTATACAAGTGCTAGTAAGCACAAGAATTTTAACATATTGGTTGTGAGAAGGATCACAATGCTTTGGGGGCAGTTTGAAGATATTTGCTGGGGCACAAGATGTCAATGAATATCAAAACTCTGAGGTCAGTCTGACATGACTAGGATAATTTCATCCTTTTTAGAATGTTTTCATCCCGGTCAACACCGCTGGAGTAATGCTAGTGCAAACTGGGGGAATGTCCTCTGCTCAGAATATGACTCACCAGTCTCAAAGACAGGGCCTCAAGTCACCTATGGTGTGAAATACTGTAATGTTCCTTTTCTTTCATTTACACTCAGGGCTAAATTATATCATTTGTGAGGAAACACGAGTAGGGGGCAGGGTGGAGCCCAAATTCCCCACAGGGAATATGGTGGCCAGACAGGCTCCTAATGAGCTTTCCAGTGCATAGAAGTGATCGAGTAGAGCTATCCTTTAGAATGATGCAACCTCATCTCTCTAGTAAACATTTCCAGTTGTTCTAATTAATATTTTTCCATAGACATCTTAGATGAAATGGACTTTAGTTCCCTGGACATGGCTTCAGCCAGTTATTTTTGTCTCCCTTCTAGTTGTATGCCCATTCCTCATTCCTCTTCTTAAGAAGATGAATGTGAACTTTTTCCCCAAAGATGCCATAGAATTCTTCATGAAGTCAGTCTCCAGAATAAAGAAGGAACGTAAAGAAGAGGGAAAAGGGGTAAGTGGGACTCTCCCACTCATGAGCCAGAGAATGTTCTCTGTTATATTAGCTCACATGAAAAACATTTACTTGTGTGAGTTAGAGTCTAGCAAAGGACCACAATAGTATGTGTGTGTCAGTGATCTAAGCCGATATCAGGGTAAAACCCAAGCAGACTTGATTGCAGTTTGGGAGTATGTTTATACTGCAGAGGCTTTTTGGGAAAACGGCCTTTTTGCAGAAAAAACTTCACTTATGTCCACGCTGCAATCACGTTCTTTTGATTAAAAAATTGAAACAACAGAGGGGTTTTCCTGACATTGGTAAACCTCTTTCTATGAGGAAGAAGTCTTTTTCCATAAGAGCTTTTTCAGAAAAAGGTGTGTGTGGTCAGGGAAGAGGGAGTTCTTTCAAAAGAAGAAGAAAGAAGAAAAAGCACAGGTGCCCTGGTGGCCACTCCATCCACAGTAATCACAGCTTACATGTGAGATAGCATCCATTCAGTGTGGACGGTATCTTTCAAAAAAGCAGATTGCTTTTGTTGAGTGGATGCTCTCTTTTGGAAGAAGTTTTTCAGAAGATCTCTTCCAGAAAAGCTTCTTCCGAAAGAAGCCTGCAGTCTAGACATAGCCTGGGTGTGCAAAGATTTTGATTTACAGAAAACTGCCCTAAGGAGTAGCCTTGGAAAGCTGGAGCAGACAGAGGGAGGGACTCCACTGAGCAAGTGGTAGAGTTGAGCATGAACACACAGCGCAGTGTCACTGATACTGTGGTATTCAGAGCACAGTCTCCAAAAGAGAAGGTCTTAACTCTCATTTATTTCCCCGCTGGATTTTCTCTCCCCCAGAGTAACCCTGCGGTAAGGCGGTTACTTGTAAAAGTCACAAACAGAGATGTTGTTTTTACTTTCCCCTAAAACTATACAGCTGTTTTAATAAGGGTGCTTTGCAAACTAGACAAAAAAAGAGTCTAGCTCTGCAGTCTCAGGCCTTGCTCATCATTCCTAACAATGACTGACCAAACCTGCTGTCCCCGCTGACTTTTCTTTAGAGCTGGGCCAATGGACCCCTCCAAGAAGTGCAAGAGTTTCATGTTTTAAGCCATTGTCACAGAAAAGACATTTGCATTTTGCTGGGTCCTATCTAGTCACTCCTGGGGATTTTAAAATACAACATTTGTGTTCTGAGACCCAATTTTCTGAGCCATCCCTAGGGGAATCTCTCACTAGACCAGCTTTCCTCTGAATGATTACTTCTTTTTCCAGGCCCGAGTGGATTTCCTGCAGCTGCTGATTGAATCCCAGAATTCTACCATGAGCCATGAAAGCAATGGAGTGACTCAGACATATAAAGGTAACAACATAAAAAGACCCATATTGGTGAGTGCCGTTGGGGGCTACTGCAGAGAGGGGAATCTGAATATGTAGCTTCATGGAGAGGAAATAAATGGTTCATCCCCCCTCTCCAGCTAGGTTGACTCACCTGGACTGCATATACGTTTTTGTCCAGCACAGAGTGAGATGGGGAAAAGTTATCATTACTTTTAAGTAACACTTTTCCCACTAGTAGACTAGAAGGCATGCATTCCAGGCCAACCCCTGCTGTATAATCCTTAGTGTTGGCCAGTGAAAAAATATGAAGTTGGTACCTGCCAATATGGTAAGAGGCAAAGGCCAGCTCTATTACCCCCCTAAACTACCAGCTTTCATTGTATCATTAATCACAATTCATTTAAATAAAACTTCTCCGATTATAGCTTGGTTAGAACTATTCTCGGTTCTTTTCAAGACTAGGAGAGAGCAGGTGTCCCATGGTAATCAGGTCACCACTGAATGATTAGATTATATAACCTGAAAATGAATCATAGCCAACTTGGCAGGTACCCGTGTTTTGCTTTGTATGTCCTGCATTAATCAATCAACAGCACCAGGGATTACAAATCAATCATTCGCCCTGTTTAATTTTCCCACCACACCCCCATCAGCCCTATCCGTGGGATAATAATTAATAAATAATAATAATAAAATCACCATCCATCTCTTCTGGCATAATATACGTTATGTGCAAAAAGCACAGCCTACATGCTGTTGTTTCTGGGGCTCATCTTTTCTATCTGTGTTCCTCTCTTCGCACAGGCCTGACTGATAATGAGGTTCTGGCTCAAGCATTTATTTTTATTTTTGCTGGATATGAGCCCACCAGCAACACGCTATGCTACCTTGCTTACACTTTGGCCATCAACCCTGATGTGCAGCAAAAGCTGAAGGAAGAGATAGACTCAGTTTTACCAAACAAGGTAAGAGAGTAGTGGATGCTCAGTGATTTCTATATAGCTTCTTTCAAGCCAGTTTCTTTCCTCTAGTTACGTCCAGTTAATGAGACTGTGGTTTAAAGACCTTAAATACAAATACTGGCTTAGCTATCCTTTGGAAGCTCTGATGAGCACACATTAAGAAATTTTCGCTTTCACCAAAAAGAGAGCTGAAAACTTGTTTCCAAAATGGTATATGTCTATTTTGGGTGAGTTACAGAAAGTACCACGTATGGAATATACTACAACTGTCTTGCAAACTCCAAACCATAACTATTGCATGCGTAATAGTGGTTGTGCATTTCTCAAAATCTCCAAATGATATAGGAGAGGAAGAGAAGCTGAGAGAATGGTGAACACAGATAACAATAGCCTGGCAATAACAGGGATTACAAATCAGTCTTAGTACAATTTTTAAATCCCCGGTCTCAAACCCACACCAATAACTTTTCCCATGGGACAATATAATAAAGCCTTATTGAGTCATATATATAGAAACACACAGAGAAATACACACCTTATTTTTCTTATCTCTGCTTGCCTATATGTTTTCCTTGTGACATCCTTTTTTCTACCTATTTATCTCTCACACCAGAATTTGCACACTCAGCAAATACCTTTTGTTACTTTAACATGCTCAACAACAAAGAATTGTTTATGAAGCTGTAGGAAAAAGGAAACAAGGAGAAGAGAGTTACACTCATGGAATGGAGATGTCAGCTGGGAGACATGAAGGAAATTCATACCATTGTTCCTGGGTACTAATTAGTTTGTCTTTGTATCTCTTGCACTGAGTGTCTATGTGTTGCAAGAGATGCCACTTTTCAAAAACACATTGGCCACCCCAGGATTGCTGATTTCAGGTATGAAGTTGGCAAAAATGGGCAGAGATTCCCAGTAACTAACATTATTTAGGAAAAGAAAATTAAGGTGAATTGATAGGTTCACAGTGAACAGACAGTTCAGCATTGAATGCAGAATGGATACTGTGACAAATGAGAAGAGAAAACATGTTTTCAACACTGATCACATGAAAATCTCATCTAGATAACCTTTTTCTTATTCCCTTGCAGGCTCCTCCCACCTACAATGCCCTGATGCAGATGGAGTACCTTGACATGACAATGAATGAAATCCTTAGGCTGTTTCCTCTCGGAGGGCGACTTGAAAGGGTCTGTAAGAAAGACATAATGATAAATGGAGTGAGCATTCCAAAAGACACAGTGGTTGCAATTCCAACCTTTGTTCTGCATCGCATCCCAGAATTCTGGCCAGAACCCGAGGAGTTCAGACCGGAAAGGTATGGAATATATATCAATAGGAAAGGAGCAATATAATCTTCCTTATCTATATTAAGTCATTCCTGAATATCAGTCTCTGACCAACAAATTCTTACACTTATGACTGGAACCAGGTTCAGTAAAGAAAACAAAGAGACGATGGATCCATACACATACCTGCCTTTTGGGTCTGGTCCCAGAAACTGCATTGGAATGAGGTTCAGTCTCCTCACCATGAAACTTGCTATTGTCAGTCTGCTGCAGAATTTCACCATCAGACCCTGCAAAGAAACCCAGGTGAGAAACCTAGATTTACATTAGAAACCTTGGTTTTGAAAATCAGATGATTATTTACTGGGAAGAGTTCATTAAAAACAATTTTAAATACTTTATTTGGGTACGCAGATGGGACATGGTGAACAACTCAAAATAAAGATTCAACACAGATGATAGCATAGTAGTGTAATACATAGCAGATTCTATATTGCATGCACTGTGTGTAGTATGCAGTATTATAAAATATATCATGAGAGTATTGTATAAGAGAGTATCAGAGAGGTAGTCTGAATCTGCAAAAGCGATGAGGAGTCCTGTGGCACTTTATAGACTAACAGATTTATTGGAGCATAAGCTTTCATGGGCAAAGACCCACTTTGTCTGAATGCATCTGACGAAGTGGATCTTTCCCACGAAAGCTTATGCTCCAATACATCTGTTAGTCTATAAGGAGCCACAGGACTCCTTGTTGCTTTTGTATAGGAGAAAAAATAGTAACCGAGGAACCATTACAGCACAGAAAGGAGAGGAAAATGGTTAATCAGCTTTAGTAATAACTTTATTCAAGTAGATTGGTTGACAGTGTCATCATTTTCCACAGAGAAAATTAATTGCTTGACTCCTACCTGGTTATGATTATAAATATGCATCTTTGGTTTCCATTGCTTAGTTCCTTGAATAGAGTGAGTTGAGGTATCTGGAAGTTGAGGTATCTCATCCTTCATTTTCTTGTGGAATGGGTCCTTCTTTGGTTGTCAGTGCTGCTTTTACTATGGGGGCTGGAAGGTCTATGAGCTATTTATGAAGTGTTGAAACTTTCAAAGTAAAGTTACAACCACCTTTCAGTGAGATTAGGGTCTCAAGCGTCACACTTTTCAGCAAGAAATGAGCTATTGTTGAGGGGAACACTGCCTTCTATGAAAGTCTCAGCCATCATAAACCATAGTCAGGAATACTACAACACAGGTAGACTGTGACAGACATGCTGGAGAAATGGTTTTGCCAAGAGTCTGTCATTTCCTGGAATATAAACCTTAATATCAAACAGAAGCAAGTGTACTGCCATCCCTGGGCAGCAAGGAGGAAAATGTAGTTGTGTCTCATGAGGACTACATAAGTGATGAGAAAATCTGACCCCCTTCACTTTCTGCTTTGAAAAGGGCTAACACTGGAAGAGATCATTCTGCCTAAAGAAGACCATTGATAGGCCACTGTTTTAACTGAGAAATCCTCAGGCTGAAACACTAACACTGTGCTTTGGACAATTAGGCAGGCAAATGATATGGCAATCATAGAAATAATAATGGAGACTTAGCAGTTTTTCTCTATAAGTTTCAAAGATCTCTACAAGGCAGGGGAGCATTATTGTCTCCCTTTTTACACACAAGGGAACTTAGTAAGAAAGCAGTGAAGTGACTTGTGCAAGAACACACAACATTTGTATCAGAACTGAGTAAGAGGTCGAGATTTTTAACCTCTTAATTCTATACCCTGACCCTTAGAACTTCCTTGAAAACTACAAACAATGGGGAATACCACATTTTACTATGATCCTCACTGAGCTTAAGCAATGGTGAAAGCAAGAAGAAATGCAGCACTGCAAAACACTGAGCAGGTTTATACAGGGCCTTGTTACAGGTCACCAAGAGCAAGACACCTTCACATCACTTGCTAGTTCTGTAATAGTTGAAATTCAGCTAAAAAAATGGTCATCTAGGTTTTTTAACTCCACAGCAAAACCAATTTGTTTGCAGTCTTTAACTAAGGTGCAGTCAGGCTGTAAGGTGCTAGCCTTGGTGCTTTTGGACTAGGATTGGAGAAGCTCTTCTCCTGCTTTAGGTCCAGCCAGCAATTCCTGTCAGGAAAAGGGGGCCAGCCTTCTTATCTCACCTTGTGGGTCCTGATTGGCTCTTCCCACTTCTTCTAGCCATTGGAGGACTAAGTCTTGCTGGTTCTGTCAGTACCAGAGTCTGACTGACCTCTCTAGGCAGTACACAGAGGCTTAAATATACTGCTTCCCTTTCTCAGGTGGCACTTTTCCTTCTGGTGGGTATATCAAGGCAGAGATGTCTCTTGCAGGGGACAGAGAAAGCTTGATACCCATTACAGGCCTTGAATATAAGAAATTCTGAGCACCTGCAATTTCCATAGAGGCCAGGAAGCTCCTCGCAGGTCTGGGCCCATTAGGCCTATATGAAATGTCCATCACAAAACCCTAAGCAAGGAATAAGTGCTTCTGGATCTGGACTTTTTAGAAAATCAAATACATTTCCAAGTTTGTAAAACTTATAATAACTGGAGACAGGTAATGAATGAATCTGGGCTGGATTTGGAGTGAACAAGGCAAAACAAAGGCATGTCCTTTAGAGAATCTGAGAATATTTTATTTGCTGGGCTACAAATGTTCTTTTCTCTCCTAATGTTGCAGATCCCCCTCAAGCTGAGTACGCAAGGATTCATAACACCAGAGAAACCTATCGTGCTGAAGTTAGTCCCCAGATCTTGTACCACACACTCGGAGGAGTAGGAGCCAACCGAGTTTACAGCAGCTCTCCAGAGGACCAGCAGAGGCTTTCCACATCATTGGGCCTCTGCAGAACACACAGAAGAAGAGCTTCTGTTCATTCCAAAGGCATTTCTAAATAGCTACAGAAAAATATGACTGTCAGAAATGAAAATTGAATCACGGGGCAGTGACCGTAAATAGCGTGTATGCCCTCAGATTGAGAGAATGTGTGCCCAGCAAAAATCCAGAGGCGCTGCTCTGCTTTTCTGACTCCTTTTTAGTGGGAATCTTCTCTCTCAAAAGGAATAGGCCGTAGGAACTTTTTTAGTTACTGTGTGCAGGGATGAGTGAATGACAAGGAATGGCAGTGGTTTTCTGTGTTGTACTGATATTTGAAGACGTGTGTATAAACTGTTGGGCTGTTGAGCTTAGTGGGATGTGGTAAGACTATATCTTAGAAACTAAAACTCTCTTGGGTCACATGTTAATAGAATGAATGTATGTAACATGTACAGAGAAAGGCATTCATAAAAATATTTGGGAAAGCTCTCTGTTGTGTACTCTGAATAATTTGCTCACTTCTTACTTGAAAAAAATACCCAGTCTGGACTCCTGAAATTATCCACATATAGCATCTTCCATTTCATTTACTGAATTTGATCCTTCATTGAACTTGATCAAGGCTTTCTCCTGGCAAATGCATTGCAAATAATACAACTGCTGCCTGGGAGTTTGCTTAAGTGGATCACTTTAGGGCAGGGTTATTAATTTCACCACTAACTACAGAATGCTGCCATGTAATCAATAAAGGAGGGTAAATGTTGATTGTGGGAGAGACCAAAGAAGAGATAGAAAACTGTGTTATTGACACTGTAGGCACTGCTATGTGCTAGGCACTCTGTGCCATCAAGCAAGATCAATCACTTAGGCCAAACAGCTTGGAAGAGATAATCAAGACAAGACAAAGGCTATTCCCCTTAGCACTACTATATTCTTTCTGGTAAGCTACTTGGTCAAGCGATTCAGATAGTTGTGATTAAAAAACTCCTAGCCTTTTGGGCATATACGTGATATGCCCTTTTCACATCACCAGCACTTGTTGTGGTAGGTTAGGATTAGATCTAATATTTACAGCAAACACGCAAACATATAACATAGTAGCACATTTGCTCGAGTCCTTGGGTGGGGAGGGGAGAAGGAGGGCGCTCAGGGCAAGAAGTGTGGGGGGTGCAGGAGTCAGGGTTAGGGGGGAGGAGGGAGGCTCTGAGCAGGGAACTCTGTGTGTGTGTGTGTGTGTGTGTGTGTGTGCATGTGCATGTGTGTGTGTGTGTGTGCATGCGTGCGTGCATGCGTGCGTGTGTGGGAGGTTGAGCAGGGAGCAAAGAGGGGCCAAAACACCCACCAAGATTCGTACCAGGGCTACTTGCTTTTCCCCTTCCTCTCCTGTCCTGTCAGGGAGTGAGAGCAAAGTGCACAGCTCATCTGCCACGCCTCAGCCAGAGTGAGGAATGCAGCAAACTGTGCACTTTCCTCTTGCTCCCTGACAAAGGGGAAGCCGGCAATGTTCCCATATGAATCTGGGATGGGAGAGCTTTAGCTCCCCCAACTTTTCTAAAAAGCATCTGGGGGGTGGGAGGCTGGGGCAGTCCTGGACAGGAGTTGGCATGCCTCCAGCCAGCACCTTTCACATGCTTGGGGTTTCTGTCTCTTTTTTGTCTGGTTTTATGAGAAGCAATCCCACTACAAGCACACCCCATTTTCCTAGCACAACAAAACCCTTACCTTGCTTTACGTTATAATAAGAGAAGATTGTACATCGAATTTGAGAGTCCTAGATTTTACTGTTATGTTTAGAATCATAGAATACTAGAACCGGAAGGGACCTTGAGAGGTCATTGTGTCCAGATCCCCTGCCTTCATGACAGGACCACGTACCTCTAGATCATCCCTGATAGATGTTTATCTAACTTGCTTTTAAATATCCCCAATAATGGAAATTCCACAACCTCTCCAGGCAATTTATTCCAGGGTTTAATCACCCTGACAGTTAGGAAGTCTTTCCTACTGTCCAAACTAAACCTCCCCCACTGCAATTTAAACCCATTGCTTCTTGTCCTATCATCAGCGGTCAAGGACAACAAATTTTCTCCCTCTTCCTTGTAACACCATTTTAGATACTTGAAAATTGCTATCATGTCCCCTCTCAGTCTTCTCTTTTCCAAGCTAAACAAACCCAATTCTTTCAGTTTCCCTCATAAGCCATGTTTTCTAGACCTTTAATCATTTTTGTTACTTTTCTCTGCACCTTCTCCAATTTCTCCATATTTTTCTTCAAATGTGGTGCCCAGATCTAGACACAATATTTCATTTGAGGCCTACTCAGCGCAGAGTAGAGAGGTAGAATTATTTCTTGTGTCTTGCTCACAGTACTCCTGTTAATGCATCCCAGAATCATGTTTGCTTTTTTTTTTTTTTTTTTGCAACAGTGTGACACTGTTGATTCATATTTAACTTGTGGTTGACTGTGACCCCTAGATACCTTTCTACAGTTCTCCTTCCTAGAAAGTCACTCCCCATGTTGTGTACATGAAACTGATTGTTCCTTACTAAGCGGAGAACTTTGTATTTGTCCTTATTATACTTCATCCCATTTATCTCAGACCATTTCTCTAGTTTGTCCAGATAATTTTGAATCCTGACCCTATCCTCCAAAGCTCTTGCAACACCTCCAAGCCTGGTATCATCTGCAGACTTTATAAGTGTACTCTCTATGCCATTGTCTAAATCATTGATGAAGATATTGAACAGTCCCAAAACTGACCCCTGTGTAACCCTATGTGTATGCCCTTCTACCATGATTGTAAACCATTAATATCTATTCCCTGAGAATGGTTATCCAACCAGTTATGCACCTTCCTTATAGCAGTCCCATCTATGTTGTATTTCCCTAGTTTATTGATAGGAATGTCATGAGAGACTGTATAAAACGCATTGCTAAAAATCTAGGTACAGGAGGTCCCCGACTTGCAACCACCCGAGTTCTGACCCCCCCCCCCCCACTTACAACCATTTTCGTAAGTGTAGAAGGGGCCGAACCCCCCACTTACATTCTTGGCCTGCATTTACGATGGCACACGATGCCTATCATAAATGATGGCTCAAGTTACGACACCCCCCTGACTTGCGACGCTTCCTCCAGAACCAATCACGTTGCAAGTTGGGGGCCTCCTCTATACCATGTCTACTGCGTCCCCCTTATCCACAAGACTTGTTATCCTACCACAGAAAGCTATCAGAGTCAGCTGGCAAAGGTAGTTGAGGGAATGTGCTAAATCTATGTATCCCCCACTCGCACTGATTTCCAAGTTATCACCACAGATTTTCTGGGCAGTACTTGTAGATGGAAGAATGTGGACACTTTTCACCACAACTCCTCCTGCATCTAGACAGAGCTTAGTCCTCAAGGTGTTTTTCTAGGATGTACTGTCTGTGGCAGAAACAGGCATGGACTATGGGGTGACGATTGTTCAGTCTATAAACTGCTTTGGGAACTTCTGTATGCAGAATCTCTCTCTCTAAAAAATATGTCCTGTGGGATGACAGTGACATAATCACGTCACTCTGCATTGCCCTACCCCCCCAGTCTCAGTGGTAGTTATGGTTTGGGTTTCCCACCCCTGCTCCTGGCTGGGGGGGTGTTCTGGGCTCCCCACTGGCCCCCGCCTCTCCCGGAGGAGGGCCAGCGATCTGCAGTGGCAGCTGCCTCCAGCCCTGTTTCTACTTCTGGGTCCGGGGCCCCGATGCTGCATGACCCAGTGGGGAACCACCACCTGCCTCTGGCCACTGCCTGCCTCAGGCTCCAGCATTGTGCCCCCTCCCCCCAAGATTAGACTGCTACCACCAGCTTCCTGCAGGGTGAGGGGGAAAGAGGAGATACCCCTGAAGTTCCCCTCCACCCCTCTTCCCCAGGGCTGAGAGTTCCAGACCAAATAAAGTACCATGGCCACTTTTGGAGCTTGTGTGCACATGTGTTTGTTTGGTGCCCACATTTCCTACAAGCTTGCCTGGCTGCTGAGCAGCGGGTGAGGGCTTGAGCAGCTGCCCCAAATGAGGAGCAGGTTTGGAAAGGAGGAGGCTGCGGGGTGGCAGGTTTTTTTGTTTGCTTTTCCCCCTGCCCCACAGGAAGCCTGTTGCGCACGGGCGGGGAGAAACCTAGAGAGTGAACTCTTTTTTCAGGCCAGGTTCTAGTATTCTATGATTCTAAACATAACAGTAAAATCTAGGACTCTCAAATTCGATGTACAATCTTCTCTTATTATAACGTAAAGCAAGGTAAGGGTTTTGTTGTGCTAGGAAAATGGGGTGTGCTTGTCTGTCTGTCAACAGAGCCATGTAGTCTAGACATACCCTTAGTGTAGATCAGGAGTTAATGATTATTTGTTCTGTATATTTTCCCTGGAGCACCTGGCATTGGCCATTGCCTGAAGATAGGCTACTGGGCTAGATGGGCTTTTGCTCTGACCCAGTATGGCTGTTCTCATGTAATTAAATATAGTGTTAAAAAGAGATCAATCTTTTACCTTATGCTCACCTTTTGTAAAAGCCACAATTCACCTTGTTCTGTCCCAAGTAAGGCCTCTGGTAAGATTTCTTTGGTAAGTATTAGCACTATAACTTTCACTCAATAATTAAGTTCTTTCATGGGAAGTTGACCTCCATGCAGAAACAAGTATTTTGAAGAGCTCAAACACAGCCAAAAAACGAGCTTCAAAACATTGCAGCCCAGATCTTCATAAAGAGGCAGAAAGCCCTGAGGTAGGAGTAATAACTTCACAACACCAAAAAAAGGGCGCTTCAGAGGAGAGAAATCTACAAGGCTGTCAACAAAATCCAAACAGAAACCCATCAAATCTGGGCTCCTCAACACACCACTGTCCAAACATTGGGCTAAGTACAGGGAAAACAATGAATGAAATTAAAAGTGCAGCCTTCATAAAAGTCCTGCTCAGGACATAAAGTCTGGCTAGGCTTCACTTTGTCTGTAATAAACATATGTAAACTTTTTTCCCCCTATGGTTCTGTCTCCTTTTATTGGCTCCTCTTCTAGTGCTGGCAACGAGCCTAGACAAGTTTATCTTTTGCATTTTACTAACTGCTTGAAGGACCCATTCTACTGGAGCAATTATTCCTTTATCAGATGATTTTACCTTAGGGCTTGCTCGCTCTAGTCCATTGCAACAATGAAGCTTATTACTTGCCATGTTTATTAAACAGATTTGCAAAATACTAATTTTTGGAGTAAATTTTCCACGGCCTCATTCCAGTTATAGCACAATAGCTCTGCTGCCTCTTGACAGCTTTGGGGACCAACAGGCCCTGCATGCCTGTTGTCACTGTTACATGATTTTCAGATTCTCGCTATTTTATAGATATGGGATCTGGCCACATGGTTTATTTAAGAAATGGGTATTCCTGGGTCCAAACTCCTGCCTTTCTTCGGGACCATCTCGGAGTATCACAAAGTAAGTGATTGGGAGCTCCAGAAATAT